ACTTTCCTCTTTGGCCCCATAATCTTCTTGATCAGAAAATTTGGGACACTACCGAGGTACATGACGTTACAGTACAAGTTCTCATATGTCCTGAGTCTTAAATGACCTTAGAAAGTTAGGGCCAAAATGTTGGCTTTCCTTGTAGCCCTCCTTTTTCTCTAATTTTGGTCTGCAAACTTAGTGTTAACCATTCAGAAGACAAGCTTATTGTTATTATCAAGCAATTTAGGCTATCAATCTTAACCTCACTATCTCACTGCATTTCAAACATCTTAGGCATAATAAGGAACAGGTATTTTTCATCAAGTATTGATATGTTGAACTGTAATGACTTTTGCCTTTAAATAAAAAAAATCTAATGGAGTGCTTTTCTGTTGTAATTAACTTATTTTTGACAGTTTTTAGTTTGATTCTATGAGTATTTATTGAACATCTTGTACATCCTCAATGTTCTGTGTACTTGGGGACATGTTCATGAACAAAACAGACAAAAAAATCTGTTTTGTGAGTCTACTTTCTGGGATAGAGAAATGGAATTTCAAAGCATGCTTCAGTTAATAATTCCATAGGGAAAAATAAAGCATTTGTGTGATGGGAGAGTAAAATATTATGGCGAAGACAAAGCCAGAAGTTCAGGGGGAGGCATGGCATTCAGATTCCTAAGCAAGGAACATTATCTGTCCAGACAAGCTAAGGTACAGGCAGCATGTACTGCACCTGTTGAAGAAGTGACCCCTCAAAATAATGAGACTTCTTTGCAATTGTGACTCATGTGTGTGGGACAACGTGTCTCACGCGCTGAGGCTGTATAAATGGAAGCTGGATACATGGACAAAGGCAAACGAAATTCTTTTGTGGGAAGCCAGTCTGCATTTCCGTGGGCCATGCCTGCTTTCTGTTTCTGGTGCTGGAGTGCTGGTGTAGTGATGTCCTGCTGTGGCGAGGGCCTGTTCAAGTGAACTTCTGCTGCTCTTCTTAGAAAGTTGGGCAGCCGCTTTGGGCGAGTCTGTTGCCTTTTCTGTAAATGGCCCTGTCTTTGTTTGTAGCCTCACTACGTTACATTTATTTCATTCCATTCCTTCTAGGGTTTCAGATACTGTGCCTTCTCTCTATGGATTCAGGTGCCCAGTATTCTTTGTGGCTCCTACTGCTTGTTACTTAGGTGTCATTTCCTTTGTCACCTCAAGAGAGATGCCTTTCTCAGCCTCTCCATCCAGGTCTGTTACCTGCATGCCAGTTACTCTACTCCATGTTTGGCATAGTTTGCTTAGCACTTTTAGATGTGTAAAATTATTATCTTCAAATTTTTAAAAGAATAAAAATAATTTTGAAAACATTAGAAATGATACCAAATTTCACTAAACAAAATCACAGGCATTCAACAATGTTTGTTATTTTGTAGAATGTTGTCTTCAAATTAGTTACTCAGATTACAAGATATATGCAAGCAAAATTGGTGAAAAAATTATAAAAAATTAAGAAGAGAAAAAACTTAAACATTAACTGTACCTTTCAATAAGCCAGCAGAAATCAGCAGTGCAATTATCCAAGCTATTCTGTGTGTATACATATATAGTTCTTTTTCTCTTGCTTCGTTCTTTCTTTTCTCCTGAAAGAGTAAATAAAATCTGAAAGGTACAATAAATTCTGTGAAAAAGAAAGATAATGTGCAAAAGGAAGAAACACTTGGGATGAGGGAAAGATGCGTAGAATTGCTATGTATTTCCTTATTAGCCCTTCGTGAAAATGCAAGACACTAAACCTTTTGTCACATTATTGTGGTAGGTCAGCAGTGCTTACACTGCAGTACAAGAGTGTAAGTCTTCAAACGCAGTTTTTAAAGAATGCTTGAATTCCATCAGGATCAGAAGTGGCCTGCTGGTCGGGGGCTCCCACACCCAGGTGCATCTTCCCTTCTTCGTGGAGTCCACCAATCACATGCCCATGATCCAGACACTCCCAGAAGCCCCACCTTTAACATGACTTGAGTGCCTGAGGCTTTAGGAGAATGGGAAGATCTAAGCCATCACGGAGAACATGCTCCATATTTGAGTAGCTGGCTTGCACACAGTTGCGCAACTAGGGTTGCATAACCCAAACCAAAATACGCATTTAGAGAGCGTTCTTTGATTGCAGTATGCATGCTCCACCTAAGAGGCAGGGAGCCTCATGAGTGGAAGAGCCCAGTGCTCTTGTTGAGAGTCATCCAGGCTACCACCAGCAACCCAGGGGATGCAGTGTTGTTTTTTTTCTTCTATCACCATTAAGTTCTGCTTGGAGAGTACCCCAGTGTCCAGAGTCAGATAGTCCTGCTTTTGGTAGAGCAGATTGTACTCTTCAAGGCAGCCACAGATTCACTCTGGCTTGACTGGAGCAGTGATGCTCAGCGTGTGGCACACGTGACGCAGCAGGCTGCTTGTTACCGTTGGAGGCTCCAAGAGCTTCGCCAGTGCTGGTCTAGACTAGGAAATAGGATTGCCTCCTTCCAGTTCTAGTGATGGAGTGCTGAACTCCCTGAATTTGTCCATCCACTCGCTGCTTTTCTGCTGTCGCTAGAGTCACTGCAAAGTCACTTTCAAGTTTTCCTTATCTGCCTCTCCAGATGTTATTTGGGAATAAATTTAATGCTTATTTTTTAAAGGTAAAACAAAATAGTTTGTGTACTTTTAATATGCTTAAAAATTTATTTTTCTTATATAATGGGCATTTACTTTTGTTCACCTGTAGGCATATAGTGTCCCATATCAGTATTATGAAAAATATTATGTTGGAAAATATTATGTTGAAAAATATTGCTTGCATTTTCTGAGTAAGAAATACATATTCAGGAAAAAGACACCATTCAACTGGGCGTAGTGGTACATATCTGTTATTCCAGCACGTCGGGATCTGAAGCCAAGGGATTGCGGTAAATTGAAGATTAGCTGGAGTTACACAGTGATTTTAAAAGCCAACCCAAACCACATAGGGAGACCTGGTCTCTGAAAAACCTAAAAACAAGCAAAATTATTCGAATGGGTTTATATTTATTAGCATTTCTTTATGTTTGCTTGATATTAAAATTCACAGTAGCTGTAGATTTTTGCTCTTATTTCTATATATCATTTTTGTTTCTGCTTATTTTTCTGCAGTAGAGTCTTTGCAGCTCTTGAAATTAAGGACAATATTTTGTTACATACCACATATGCTCCAGAAAGAAAGGCTATCTTTGACTTTCTATTTGGATTCTAGGCCTCTAGTTAGACTAGCTATTATTTTCTTAACATTTTCTAATAAATTATCTACCTTCACATGTATCGGTACACAGAGACACATAGACACATACACTAGACATTTATAAATGCATACTATTTTGAGAAGGGAAATAATTGAAATCTGTAACACTTTGTCTCCTAAAATTCATTACCGCTTGTGCAGGATTTTTTTCTTTCATGAACTCTTACCTCATGGGCAAAGATGGACTTAATTATAATTTAAAGGACCACGTTGCCCCATTCTATTACTGGATTGTTAGGTGAATGTCCGTAAAGTACTCTGAGTTCTTACATGAGACTAGAGACATTTATACAAATATACACATAGTTTATGTGTGATAGTGTATACACCAAGAAGGAAGAGTAAACGTCTTAAATACTTTATAGCACATATACCATATTTAAATATTTTTAAAATAAGAAAGATGACATCTTAATATTCATTTGTATCTTTTGTCCGCCCGCAGTGCCTGGCCTTATGGAAATCTATAAATGTATAATCCAAAGGAACATGTCCTGTGTTATCATTAGGAATCGTGTCATTTGCAATAGATTTTCTGAGCCTTTCCTTTCCTTGTTGAGCTTGAAATCTCTGATAAGCCTTGGCTGTTTAAGTGATATTTAATTTTTCACTACTGCAATTATTTGATAGCTAAGTCTTATGGTCAACAAGTTGAACGTTCAGCTAATACTTTGAGCAAATAAAATGACATCCTTTTAGACAGCAAGGCGAAGTACAGTCAATGCAGTATTTCAGGAGATTCTGACAACTGTTAGTCAAAGAACATTAATCAAGTAACTGAACTATTGTAAAACTGGTAGGAATTACACAGAAACCATGAATAAAACGTTTGCGACAGTCTGCGGCCAGCCTTTTGACCTTTTGAGGAGTTTTAGTGTTCCTTTGACTGTGAATTTAATGGCTTTTCCGTTTTGTGTGCTTAAGACCCTTTTTATTACAGGTAATGTTCTTGCATAAAGCGATCAGCTAGATAAAGCTGTATTTCAAAACTTTTAAATGTCTTTTATTACATTATCATCGCAACAGTCGATTCATTTATGAAACACAAAGCACTCCCATTTGGAGAGATTTATTCTGGTATCTCTTTTTTCCCTGGATTTGCTAGAACCCTGTCATGTTCGTGTTCTGAAGGTTAATGCCCAAAGTCAAGCAGACAGAAACCAAGTGCTGCAAGGTTTCCAAGATTAGGACTGATTCCCTTCACAGAAATAAATGATTCCTGCCATGTTCAGTGATTTTGTGCAGCGCTCCCCACGGCTGAGTGAATGCATCAGAACTGTCGCCCTTACACGCTGTACATACTGATGACACACGGTGTTAACTGACTGAGCGGCGCTGGAGCCGGCGCACCTGCAGGAGAAGTGCAGACACATATATTTTTATCCTGGTTTCGAAACATTTATTTTACATTTATTTTATTTGCGAGTCACAGTTTCACATTCTGTGGGCGCTCAAGCCGTACTGCCAGGTAGAGCAAACCGTTAAGTGCTGCTGTGCTGTCAGAATTATGCCAAAAAATGCTCTCGAGCTTATTTATACCCTTTGCCAAAGCATGATTTTATGCTTTTGAGGGAAAAAGACACAAAGGTGACTATAAGGAATCCTGACAGATTGGGAACTCTGTGTAATTTAAGTATAAGAGATTTTATTTAAGTGGATCATTTAATTCAATTATGAGAAATCATGTTGCCTAGATTTTTATATTTTATTATCATGTTTTATAGGCTTTGAGACAGCAGCAGAAAAGAAGAAATGGAGTCTCAATGATGGTAAACAAGACTGTCCCTCGTGTCGTGCTGACACCCCTGAAGGTGTCTGATGAGCAGTCGGATTCGCCTTCAGGTAAAGGGCTGCAAGCTCGTGTGCTTGGCTAGTTTCTTCTCAGAAGACACTTCCTCACTCGAGAGATATCATGAGGTTTTTGGTTTGTTTGGTTTTTTTTTTTTTTCTTTTTTCTTCTGAAACTAAATAATCCTTCCACTTGAAATTTGGTTTATTCTTTATTTTTATTTTTTTTGCATCTTTGACTCAGTGATTCAAATATATACTTTATTTCTAGTTTTTTAGAAAAAAGCACTAGCTCGCTCGCACATAGTCGGATGACTTCATTCGATAATACCAGTAGATGCGGGAAACAGTGTAGTGATGCTCTGTGGGTTCTGCTGCTTCTGCTTTGCCTTGTCTTTGAATGTTGAGCTTTAATGGTAGCCCCTATGCTGATGTGTAACGCCATCAAGAGCAGTTCTTGCATGAGTGTGATTTTGTTTTTCAGTCCTCTAGTGCAGAATCTGGAATCCTTTATTAGTTTTTGTGTTCTAGCAACATTCGTCTCACCTCAGTGCAGCCCTGACCTTTTCTCCTAATTTATCTACTGTCACTTTATCAGTTATATACCATTCTGTATTTTATAGAGCAATGTTTACATTTTCTGTTCTTGCTTCAGCATAAAGTTTTCATAAAGGTTTGATCTCTCTTCAAGGGTCTTTCCTTCATCTTTCTGTCTCTATCTTATATTGTCTTTAAGTGACATTGCATTGTTCAAGCTTATTCGTGTATTTTTACAAAAGACCTCACTCTATTTCTTTTAAGGGCTATCAGATCAGTGAATGTGTGTTTGTCTCTGCTATTAGGCCATCTGTTCTTGCTTTTTGTCCTATTTGATTGATTTATTGGGCTTTTCTCTTTAGATCCAGTAGGGGAATCAGACTGTGCCCAAAGGTAGTATATTAACTCTTAGAAAAAAAAGATTGTATCTATGGTTCTTAAAACAATTTTAGTTTTTCTTTTCAAGGGCAATGAGAATAAGATAATGGTATAATAACTATTTCCTTTTTTAGGATCTGAATCTAAAAATGGTGAAGCAGACAGTTCAGATAAAGAAATGAAACATGGGCAAAAATCTCCCACTGGAAAACAAACAAGTCAGCACTTAAAAAGATTAAAAAAGTCTGGTTTAGGTGAGTGTTCAGTAGACCATAACATTTAACATTTTAGAAATGTAAATGTGTTTTCAAATAAATTATGGAATACTCTCAGAACTGTAACATTGGATAAATAAATTAGAACCTCCTTCCATTTATCTAAACCAAAAGGAGTGCTAAATAAGGAAACATTGTAAAATTTAATGATCATAAACTTATAACTAAATTTATACGTATTCATGGTAAAACAAAAGGTAAAGATGACAGACTTAAGTATGTATTAAAAATTTTGTACCTTGTCTTGATTCTGTGTATTGTCCAGTGTTTTGTCTGTACAAGTGAGTTTCATTTTCTTGGATTGTATTCTATCGGGCAGAATTCTGTTCTTAGAAAGGATTCCTTGACCTGAGTGAACACTACCATTGGCATAAATTGCAGTCCGAAGACTGCTCAGGGTCTCTGAGACGTGGGGAAAATGGACTTCTCAGCTGCGAGGCAGCACCACATTGTCTTCTCTTTGGGGACTTAAGGGCAGCATTCAGGGGGGATGAGAATGAAAGAGACAAAAATGTCCTGAGATAAGCATTGTAACCATTGACCGCTCTGCTTTGTTAAACGACCTAGACTAGCAACTTTGTTTTTTTTCTTTTCTTTATTTCATCTGTGAATAAGGGTAAAGATAATAATCTATATCATAATAATAATTTGTCAGATGATTTTGTAGAAGCTACAGCATTATTAACCTGAACTCATTGCTAATTCCACCCACCACTTAACTTCCTTAGCAGCTCGAGATCATTCTGATTTGCTGAGCTGCTTTTTCTGTTTTCCAAATCCGAGCCAGATTTTAACCTTTTTATTTATTGGTAAAGATTTATATATTTTCTGCCATATGCCAAGAATTTTTCTAAATTCTTACAGTATATTTTCAATACAAAGTCATAATATAGATTTTAAACCTTTGTATAAGAGATTTCTAGAAAACACAAGTTACTTTTTCCCAAAATAATTATCTGTTTTATATCCTCTTTCTCTTTCTCTTTTTTTTTTTTTTGTGGAACCAGAGATTGAACTCAGGCCCTTGTGCTTGCCAGGGAAGCACTTATTCCACTGAGCCATCTCCCTGGCCCTTGTTTTATGTTATTTCTAAGGCTAAATAACTTTATATCTGCCCCAAAATGTACCTCTCTGTCTTTGTCTTTAATGATATATGCATATACCCAGTTATGTTTTCTTCTAGTCTTCTGGGTATTATAAGTATGTCTTGATATGGAACACTACACTGGGAGCATGACACGGAAAAAATAATCTCCATCTAAACAGCACGGAAAATGGTTTATGAAACAGTGGGCCTTGAGTTAGAGGCAGTCTGCTACCAACTTCAGTAAAATCAGTGTTTCGCAGGGAGTCTAAGAAGATTCAAGGTAGCAGGGCCACTTGCTTCACTTATAAGGCTGACTTCAGGACTGGAAGTTCACAAGGTGCTTTAGTGCACAGTGTTGTCAGGATGCTTGGAGGATGGAGGGTTCTATCAGAATTACTTGTATTATAATTTTCTGAGCTTAAAGTTCACACTCAAAGTGATACAGAATCAGAGTGTTTTTATTATGTTTACATTGAGAGTCTACTTCAACATGTATGGGATGCTCCACAGTCTGGATCTTAGGGAGTCTCGCACACTGTTTATCATTTTTTATGTTCAAAATTGTGGTTCCAGGTTATTCTGGCTGACTTGAGAGCAAATTAAAATGTTAATAAGGGGGACCACCAAGGTCTTTTTGATGTTCCATGTCACTACAAAGCTATAAGAATAATAAAGCTACTTTAATAAAGGAAGACATGAAATCATATTCACTGTCCATATGTAGCACAGTAGTCTGGGTATTTGGATATAAGATACCTTATTTAATATTTCAGTCTTGTGCATTGGAATGATTTTCTTTTTATAGCTAAAGAAGCCAAGACGCAGAATGGTTAAGATGGTTACTCATAAACAACACAGTAACATACAAGCCAAAGCATATCGAATGGGATGGAATCTGATGTCAGATCATTTATCCTGCATTGTACACCTGTAGCCACCACTGAGAAGCAGCCTAGCACAGTGTGGCACAACGAGGTCACCATGGGCGTTAAGGGCAGACACACATGTTACATGGAAGGAGAGCAAGCAGCTGTAATATTTGCTGGCTTATCCTGTATGAAACAGGAGGGGATTTGTGGAGTTTAAAATAAGTCAGTTAAGGTAGAAATTAGTAAAAATGAAACACAAGTTATTGCTGGCAAGGAACTGTGACTGCCTGCCTAACCTAGCAATCTGTGAATGGAATGGTTTATTTTGTGCAGACAGTGTCAGTAGTAGTTATTAAGCTTCCAATATATGTCTAACAGTATAAAATGAGAGAAAATATAAAATGAAATGGAGGGCTTTAAATAAAACCATCTCCAGCAACTTACATCATCTTGAGGCAGTGGTATTTCTGATGTAACAGGACACTTGGTACCCAGCAAAGCCTATTTAGGTGCATACGTTCTGCTGTGCCTTTGCCATTCAGTTGTTAGTTCCTGGGGAACAGTGACCTTCCTTTCCATCTTTTTTGTCCTTAGAGAACCCATTACATCCATTCTGTTTAGTGGGTACCATATCCATTTTAAATGAATGAATTATTTATAATCAACTAAATAAGTTAGTAAATTTGTATAGAAGAGTGACGCAGCCTATATGTTTCAACTATGTACTTCTTGGGTAGAAATGCCCCTGTGTGTTTGAGAAAGATCTTTCTTTGCAAACTAATGTGTAAATTGGAGACCTGGGCCCTAGGAATGAACCCACCCCACAGCTCTCACCTGCCCAGAGGGGACATGGGTACTGTCCTGCCTCTGTTTCTTCCACCTGAGTCTGATACCTAATACACAGCTTCAGGATGGTATTTTAAACATTTCGTTGTAGTTTTCTGTTGGCAGGCTTAGCTCTGTATGTAAATTTTAATCTGTTGAAATAATTCTGATGTCTAACACAAATAAGTCTGTTCAGGTTTCAGTTGATAATTCTAACACAGCATCCAGTAAAGTATAAATTTTATTCTCATTGTGAAATTTTCCTAATAGAATAAAAGAAACCACTTGTAACTATTTTTCAAGTATTCTTCCTGATTCCTGCAAATTGCTTCATGTGTCAAATTACAGGGTAGTCACACTATTTGAGGTATCTCTTTCACTTGGAGCTTAGAATCTAATGAGTGAGCCTAAGACACAGTGGACCTTTGGTTGTTTTTCAGAGACCTGTGCAGTGAAGTAACTGTCCTCTATGGTACGATTCCAAGCACCATCAGATACCTACCTTCCTAAGAAAAGTTTCAGAAAAGACAGAAACAGTAATATTATAGTCAAACATGCTTGTGCATGCCTCTAACCCAGCAGTCTGGGAGACTGAAGCCAGAGGGTGGCAAGATAGAACCTAGTCTAGGTAGTATAGTGAGACACAGTCTTTAAAAAAGTTGAAACAGGGTGAGGAGTTCAGTACAATGCAAAGGCCCTGGATTCAATCTCCAGTCATGATAAGAAAGAGGAATAGGAAGATGAGATAAGAGGAGTTGGCATTCCTCAGTCATTCTAGTTCTTAGGATAATCTTGACATCATTAGGAGGATTGTGTTGGTAGTGCGGAACCCACCATATTGCTGTAGATGTCTTGTACCTTTGCCCTTGGCCAAATGTGTGTATATGAGTTCAGAGAAGTGTTGCTCATGGTAGCATGTATTCCTCACATGCCCAAAGCCCCAGGCTTGTTCCCCTGCATTGCAAAACAAAATCCAAATTAAAAAAAACCAAGTTATATATGAAAATATGTGCATACCTGTCTCAACAGCCTGTGCTTGAATAGAATTTATAACAGGGAGTGAAAGTTGTTTAAAAAATAATTTTTTCCCATAATTTTATTGATAAATAGCAATGAGACAGTTTCAAATCAAATTGGTAGGACAGTTTCAATAATTAACACATTGCATACATTCCTCCCAGTGGTTAATTGCTGTGCAAGATGCAGACATGATATCCTATCTACAAACACCATTTGACCAAAACACTCTATTCAAGTAATTTTTCTATAAAAAGACTTTCTCTGATGATGTTATAGTGAAACAGAAAAAAAAATGATTCTCCTATTTCTGAATCAAGCTAGGTAAAAAACATGATTCTGACACATAAAAAAGCAAATGCTAATAATGTTTGCAAGGGCTGTTTTGGTTGTCATAGACCTTGACAATTAGAATAATGGTAAAGGTGAGGCTACCAAATAATCTGGCAGCAGAAACTTGAGAGCAAATTAAAAGGTTAATAAGGGAAACCACCATGGTCTCTGCTGAGAGGCAGGGAAGGAGTGGCTGGAAATAGGTCTTTCTTGCCTAATCAGTTCTTTTAAGGTCCTTTCTCTTCTTAGTGAAGGATAGGGCCATTTAGAACTGCCCCTGGGGGTTTTCTGAGACGCCCTGTGACATTGTTATCACACATTGTCACAACACTTAAAGATGGAAGAACATTTTGGAAAGCTCCTTGGTGATGTGCAATCTTCTCACCCATTTTGTCTTTATTCTTTTAATTAATAATCTTTCTTTTTAGAACAGTGTTATGTTCACAGCAGAAGTTGAGTCCCCCTAGCCTTCTGCCCCTGTGTGCGTACAGCCCTCTGCTTTGCTGACGTCCTGTACTACAGTGGTGCATTTGTTACTACAGTTGGGGAACCCCTGCCAGTATGTCCTTTGCACCAGATAGTTTATTCAGGGGTTATTCTTGCTGTTCCCACAGGGGTAACACGACGTGTATCTACCACCGCAGTGGCATCCAGGATCCTTTCACTCGGGGCTGTATTTATTCATCCCTTTCCCTCACTTAGTGTTGCTTAATCCCTCACATTCTCCTCTATCTAAAATGTAAGTTCCTTGAATTCAAGGCCTTTGACCAAAACCGATTTTTAATTATACTTCTTCCTGCCCAGGAACACAATAAAATTATAAAACATGCTCGCTAAACAAATCTAAG